TCGGTATCGGCAAGTACCAAAAATAAAAGTATCGGTATCGGGCGAGTACTGGAAAAAGTGGTATCGGTGCATCCCTAGTTCAAATCACAACATGTTTGTCCGAGGGAGCAACAGTAACTAAGGGGGGCGGGGTACATATAAAAGAGCTGTATTTCCTTAACCTTTCCTCCAATTGTGATGAGAATACCCTCAAATTTAAGCTCAGAGTGTGCACTTTAAGCCCATATTCATTATATAACTGTAACTTGAATATGTTTTGGTCAACAGCTAAAATAGCAAAAATTGTGCCTTTGTCCAAATATATATGGGCCTAACTATATTTATACATGTACAAATGTGAATTGATGTTAATCTAATATCACCTCTCTCTTGCAGTTCTCCTATTACAGACAGCAGCCCGTATGAAGTCCGGCGCGCTCAGGAACTGAACAATCTGCTGGGGCCGAAAGGATCCACAGATGCAATCAACTTGATCTGTGACCTTCATAACACCACGGCTAACATGGGCCTCACACTGATCCATTACACGACCAGTGACTGGGTGACTCTGCACATCTGCAAATACTTACAGGCAAGAACATCACAAGTGTGCTTCAATAAACACCATACTGGAAACCAAGGTCAGTCGTTCTCAACTGGTGGGAGGTTTGACCCAAATTTGGACAGAAAACAAGAGAAAAACCATTACAGAAAAATAAATATACTAAACATTCAGTGTATAATCTGGGTCCTGAAGCAAAACCAGTGAAGAACCACATACCTACGTTGTTGTGTTCCATTTTAATTGTTGACCATTGAGTAGAATAGGTTTTTTTGTGCCTGTGCACATGTGTTTTGATGTTGTGTGTTGTCATGTACACATTTAAGACTAAGATAACCAAAGTGCCTGTGAGAGTGCTGGTACTGGATGTCCCGATTAGTGAAGAAACTGTGAAGCCACTGTATGATTGTCTTTGGTGGATGTCCTATCATATACTCTAATGCATGATAGAATTAACCCTTTCATGCATGAATTATTAAATCACAAAGTAATATTTTTATATGTATGTTTTTACTTTTAAACAAGTGAAAAAGCATGCCAATAACTTTTTTTTTCTTTCAAAATATTTTATTTTGAGATATGTTACATATCTGTCCACTGTAGTGGACACCATGCATCAAGGGTATAAAAAGTGATTTTATAGAACTTATTGTTTGGTTGGAAAAAACATGTTTATAAAACATTTACAACGAGCAAATGGTATGAATACACATAAGAACATTAAATAACAACAAACTATGTCATGACGGCACAGTAAAGTTAAGTGTAACAAACAAAAGGTAAGAGAGTGTGTGTGTGTGGGGCGGGGCTGTGTGGGGGTGGTGGGCTATTCATACACAGGTGAGCACAAACACACACACACACAAACACACACTCGAACGCAATCAAGCACAAATATCCCTGCCCTCAAACAGTGCAATACTCATACACTCAAACATGCCTACACTTTTATATGACCTAATAAATAAATATAGACTGTAAGCATTGAAATAAATAATAAAATCTGAAGACTATTTAATATTGCTGTTTAATAAAACTATTCAAGTGTAAATTATATCATAATTTTGATAAAACATACAAAATAAGGCAGAATCTATATATAAGCCCAATAGGCACAATATACCCTTTGGTTCATAACGTCCACTGGAATGTGTATTTTGTGTAAATGTATTTTCTGTATTTTCAGAAAATATGTATTTGTATGTATTTTCTGTCACAGAAAAAATTTATTTCATTAAAATCTCGACAAAAGATTAAAATCTTATTTAGCTGAAATTTTTTTTTGTGAGAATAAAAGGATTTAACACTTATTCCTGAGGTACTTGGTGCATCTCCTCTTCCCGCCTCCATTTTGAATGTATTATGCAATATATCTCAAAACAAAAAAGAAATACAAAGACAATAATTCAATGGAATAGTAGACAACACTTTGGGGGGTCGCCAGTTGTTGGTTGGGACATGGTGCTACAACTTAAATGGTTCAAAATGGCTGACCATTGTAGTGGATGTCATGCATGAAAGGGTTAAAATTCTTGTTTCTTCGGAATCCTTGCTTTAAAGGTGCAGTAGGAGATCTTGGAAAATGCTAACTTTAGCCTGATAGCACTGAAAGCGAACATCCCACCCTCCCTGCAATCGCCGTCCGAAGCCACGCCCCCTGAACGCATTTACGCTCACAGACCAGAATACCAGAGACAACATTACTACAATAGGTTACATCAGCGGTTCCTAATTCCAGCCCATGTTCCGAAGTGAAGGAAACTTCAACAGATTTCCCCTGCTCGGGGAGGAGGGAGCAATGAACACGGTGTAGGGATCATATGGATCGGAACACAGTTCATGCACGTAGCTCACTTCTAACGAGCTGGCACGAGGACTGGATTAACCGCTGGGCTACATCATGTGTCATTCACCGGTGAGAAATCTTTAAAAGTACTACAATACCAGGAAGGAAGATCGGGTTGTTGATGTTTGTCTGCCATTCTCGCTCTGTCTGCACAGC